TACTTCCTCATAAACGGAAGCACTATCAACCAAGTAATAGGCCAGTAAAAATGGGTCCAATTCGAAGATAAAATGTCCGGCTTGTATATTTTACTTGATTTCCTAAGATCTTCTATTTTCACTTGTTATTAGTAATTATTTAATTCGAAATCAAAGGCAAGTTTTCACTTCGCCAAAAATATGGCCTGTCCTTGAGATTTTTCCGAAAATCGTTGTTACTTAGGCCGATGTTTTCTTTGTTACTGTCGTTATTGCTATAATTGTTCTCGTTGCTGTTGCTGTTGCTGTTGCTATTGGCAATGTCGGGCCAGATAACAGAGGCTTGAATGGTCATTGTCGTGCTAAAAGCAATATATCACCACCTTCTTGATAGTTTGAGCAACTTTTGGTCTTGAAATGAGGGCGTGATGGGATATCGTGCTGAAAGTTATGCTTGCAAGGGAACAAAGGAGCAAGTTAGACATTCAGGTGGATGGCAACTTCGCTTCTTGCAGGCAACTTAGTCGTTGGCCCGATCAGCTCAAGTCGACAATGCTTCAAGTGAAATTAGTTGTCGTGTGGCAGTTAATTTTAATTAACTTTGGTTTCATATGCTAATTAAATGAAACAAGAGCCCTGGAAAATCTGCTCAATTCCTGAGTTGGGAAAGCATGCCAGTGAGCGTTTCACTTTGCTAGTAGAAAATGCCTCAGCATTCATGTAGCCATTAGCCGGTTGTACTCACTTAGTAGCTAACACGAAAAATATCCAGAAAGGATCCCGCCACGTAGACAGGCTTATTTGATAGAGCTCTTCATTTCAGGTTTCTTGGCAAATTGTTAGAAGTTCATTGGGACGTTACAGTCCTGATGCAAAGAAAATATGGCATGACTTGGCCAAAGCCATTTCGTTAGTACCCTCTACCAGAAACCCATGGATACGCTGAAATCCGAGTGCATAAATGAGCCTCGTCTTTACTTAATCCTTCCAGCTACGACCCCACACGTCAACTTGCGGCCACCTGTCGGGAGATAGCATGTCCGGCGTCTCAAGCAGGTCAGGAAGTGTCGGCCGAGGGGAAGCACGGTTCGAGTACTTCTGGGGCTGCTGAACAGAGCCAAAGGGCGCCCAATCCGGAAGGTTCACGATGCAGTGGATCATCCGATTCACTGTCTCGTGGCTAGAATCCCCATCAGTCCCGGAGACTCAAATCGCGAATATGGTAGCTTTTCAGCATACCGACAACTTAACTCGACTACATATCGGAGGGAATCCGTTGTTCTGTCAGATCAGTGGACATGATATCTGAATTGACGGTCGCCTATTCCTCCCATGAGGTGACCTTGGGCTGAACTTAATCGAGTGTAGTCAGTATTAGCCAAATTTTCACTTCAGTATTCATAATGAAGCAGCGCTCTTTTGCCATTTTTACTACTTTCAGAGCTATTTATATTCTCTTTTCTCATGCACGGGGCAAAGTTATCGTTAAATAATATCTAAATCTTGTACGAGAGCCTGATTGTATGCATTTTATGTGCAATTTTGCGTGCTCCTCTATTGGCTTATATTTGTAAGCATGTGTGTGAATATGTGCATGCGTGCGCTGTAAATTTGTGAGTAAGTGTACTTGTGTGCGATCCTAAAAGCAGGGCAACAGGGATTCCAGAATTAGGGCTTCTTATACGGCCCCAACTCTATCCTCCCCTCCCCCCAGTTTGACCCTCTTCACATGCTAGTGAGAGTCTGTTCTAACCAAGTATTGCATCAGAGTGTCTGGATCCTCTCCACTTGAACTAACCACTTGTGTATTTTGATTATTTTTGAGAATTCGTGCTTTTCAATTTCTCTATTTTATTTCACTTTTAGGCAGACTTTATCGAAGATTGTTAACATTTGGTGTTTCTTATGCGTACTCGAATTTCTATTGTTAGAAAGCACCGCCGGAATCGAGTGATGAATCCACTCCTAAAATGCGATTTTTCTTTTCTCTCATAGACTCGCATAGTGCGTTTTCGCATTCTGGCTCGTTTTTTTATTCAGTTTGCAACCATCACAAGAGCACCGATGTTGTCCAGGCTCTCTCATAAAAGTGTATAGGCCAACTGGCTGAAGGACTTATCAATTTCCCTCCAAATTCAGACTTTGGATGCCCGAAGAATCTCGCTGACTGTATTGCCGTCTGGCCAACTCTATTCAGTGATGGCTGTCAAAGTGGGTCCGTTCGGATTGGCTTTTTGCTAGGCTGATAGCGCGTCTGTCTTTGATGAATTAAGGATAAATCGCGGGGATTCACACCAAGATGATGTGACCTTTATTTTGGAGATGCTGACGAAGCGTCTGGGAATGTACCAAGTCAGAGGCTGGAAGCTATCAAGACTTCGATGTCAGAGGAGGCCAGACGAGGTAAATAACACAAGAGCAGCCGTAAATGATCGAATTCTTGCGGGGATGACAGTGAAAACAGGGCTAGGCAAAACTTCATGCCATCTTTAATGAAAACCCACTTTTGGTATAAAGAGGAATGAGGTGTTAGAAAGCAAAAACATTTTAGTTGCCAATTTCACTATTTTTGCTTGCTGTACCATAAGACAAATGGTGTTAATCGTGTTAACATGTCAGATCCCTCCAAGGTTTATCAGCATAGTGAGGAATGTTAGGAGGGCAATAAAAGTATTATACAATTTTATAATAATAATATTAATAACGATATTAAAGGAGAGTTTTTGTCAAGCAGCAGCCACCAAAAGGCCTAAGTATATGTCGTATTGAATTGGATATTTACTATAGTCCCACTGGCGGCGTCTCTATATTAAAATAATTGTCACATGACAGATGAAATCTCAATACTGTCGTATCGAGGACATTTTTGCACAATCCAACGATCACCATTACACGCAAATATTCTTTCGGCCAAATTTTCCTCTTAAGGGAAAATTCGAGTCAAATTAAATTGGTATTTTTGCTTTTCTTCATAAATAGGTACTAACGCAATCACAAATACTTAACACATACAAATAGGCGAGTGTAAGCTTCAACAAGTGTAAAAGTTACGGAGTTAAACTAGCGAGAAGCATATTTAAAACACCCGACTGATTGGTGGACAGTTGGGTAAGAATGAGGAATTTTGGCGTTTCTTTAAGCTAAAACAAGCCCATCTTCAGAAGTGGAGCCTGCTACAGTTGGGTCATGCCATGCCAAGTTATGAATCAAAAGGATTTACAGTCTCGAGTTGACTTTTCCTTGACAAATGGGGCTTACACATGCCTCATCACAACATGTAATATTTAGTTGCCTTAAGCCTCTGACACAACTACTTAGTTCAAAGCTCAGATCTTGATTTATATAACATCTAGTAACTTTTTTTGAATCTGAAATTTTTAATGTACGCAGTCTGTGGATAAGACATGGGCAAAAACTCCACATCTGTGGTTAAAAAGCCTGGAAGCAAAGGTAGACTTGAGGCTTTGAAAAGCAAAAGGATGTAAACGAAATGTAGCTACGACAACTAGGCTCTTCGTTATAATGCATCACTTAAATTAGGCTGAAACAAGCGCTCAAAAATAACATTGTTTTACAAGCATCCTTTAATCACAATTTACGTGTAGTTATTGAGGCATTCATTACATATGAAAGCACATGATGAAGTCATTCGCAAGTTTAACTAATTGAAAGACGAAGGTCAATTCGCAGTGGTTTTACTATTACGTTCGGGACATCGACAAGACATCTTCGCTGGTTTCGAGGGAATTCGGGTTGAGCATTGGTCCATCAGTATCAGAGCTGGAATTCA